TGAAAAATTAGAGGCAGAGCACGCTAAGTCTAATCTAGATTTTCAGATAGCCTTCGGTTCGGCCTTTCATTTGTGTCTCTCCTCTCTCGCCCTAACCTAATTGGCGTGTCTTCTCCAGCTCTATCTCCGTTTCTATTGTCTCTGTCTCTTCTCCAACTTAGTCTCCGACTCTCCATCTCTTCTCTAGCTCTATTTCCGTCTCTGCTGTCTTCGTCTCTTCTCCAGCTCAGTCTCTGACTCTCCGTCTCTTCTCCAGCTCTATCTCCGTCTTTGCTGTCTCTATCTCTTCTCTAGCTCTGTCTCTGTCTCTTCTCTATACTTTTGAGATTAAAGGGTTGTAATTGTAAGAATAGATATTTAAAGTGTTGCATTTTATTATTGTTAGACTTTTGAGTAGTTGGATTTAGGTAAATGTTTTTATAATTAATGTCTTTTTATTTAAATTGTATTATTTTAATTATGATCAGTTTACCACCAGTTCAACCCTAGTTGAACCATCAACCCGTGACCCAATGCCATGACCAGGTTAATGACTAATCCAATTTTACGTACCTTGCCCCTAATGCATTTTATGTATTTTTTTTGGCTCCCTTTCTCTATAAAACACGTACAATACTCAATTAGGCACTACTCACTTTGATCTTATTTATAAGTTATTTTTATTAACTTCATCAATACCAATATAATTAAAGTACAAAGAATAAAAGTTAGTAAAATTACAAACATAACCCTCAAAAAGTAAATAACCTATATAATATTATTTTTCTGTTTCGCTCTCTCTCTCTCTCTTATTTTTTTAAGGATAGTTTAGATGTTTTATTTGAAACAAAACATTATTATCAATTTAACGACTTATAAAGTGAACCACTTCACCCTTTTAAAATGTGACTAATAAAGTAAACATGAGGGAGTACATTCTATTTTTAAACTACTTTTTTGCCATAATTACTTCAAATTGAGAGTTAAAACAAAACAAAAGCAACATATAAAATAGACCTATCTAAATCTCCCATACATAAACCATTGGTTGTCCTCAAACAACAAAACCACAATTATCTAGACTTATCCTAAAAACCAGGCAATAGAAAAAGAACAAAGAATGATCGAAAGAACAATCAACCACTAAATTTTCTACTAAACTTAATAAGAAAGAGGCTTTAGCTAGTCCCACAATAGGCCATCGCTAATGGTAATTTAGCCTCAAGGTTAACTATGTATTATTTGCAAAAACAAAAATTTATATCTATTAACCCATGCCTATTTTCTCAGTTCATACAATAGGGTCACCATGTGTTGAGGCTTTTCTTTAACTTTATTTCTTTTTTCTTCCCTCTTTTCACTCACATACAAATTTGTTTAAGCTTTATGCCTTCCTTAGGCTGTTGTACGTCCTTTTTTTTTAATGTGAACCTCCATATCTATCTATACAAAGGCTTGGTTACTCATATTAGATAACCAAGGCACTAAGGTGCTACTAACATACTCATGGCTTCAACTACATTGTTTGATGTGAAGATCAACATTGGTGATGAAGATCACTGATTGCTAAGCACAATTGAGTCATCAAAGTAGATTTTTGAGCTATTCCTTTCTTTTATTTACGTTTTTTTATTTGTTTCCATTTCATGGGATCATAGTCCCAAAACTTATAGTAAAATAGATAGTATAAATAAAAAAAATAAAATAGATAATACTTTATCTCCCTTTTAGTCTATATTAACTTAGAAGGTCCTATGTATTCTATTGAATGCATTCAAAGATCTAATCAGTTAAATTGAAACAAGAGTTCTAAAAAAAATTAAAAATAAGCCTAAAACCTAGGATAACATCTGTAAGTTACAATCCAATTACTAAGAAGGTCATAAACATGCAAGTGCCATAAGTCAAGCTTGAAAGTTGAAATCCCCCATCTTAAATTTTTGAATATGATGCAATTGTAGGGAGCATAAAGAAGGATATAATTGTGGTGGATGTGTTTGGAGGTTTTGTTATTATCTTGGCCACGTGGCAAGCCATCACTGAGGATTCAGTAGTTGGCATTTCTTGTTAGGGCCCCTTTCCCCTTATTTGGGATTATGGGATAGTAGGCACCTCTTTTTTAAGCAAGGGAGTTTAGTCTTATAGGCAATATACTTTTGGTTAGGTGTATCCTCAAATTAGACTCCAACTAGCAAGATGAGATGGACGTGAGGCAAAAGGGAAGGTTAGGGATGGAATCACTTATTTGTATGACTTTTTGAAATACTCTTGAATTATAAAAACAGTATTCTCAAAATGTTTGTGAACTCTTTTATGAATTGGTGTTGCGAAAGATCCTATGTATGTAAAATATATGACTGTGAAAGGGATTTCAAAATGGTTTGTAAGTATATTTAGAATATTCATTTGTTATTGAGACATAGATCTCATTTGTTACCTCTCATGTTTTTTAAGTGAAGGTTTCAATATGTTACAAGGGAAGGTGCCGGAGAGTTGAGCCTTTAGACTCTAATCATTCTTCAATTTGGCACATGTCATTTGTTTTATTATTTTGCTATGACTTAGGTTGAATTTGAAATTATGTGTTTTTATTATACTAGTAATTTAGAGTCAAACATATAATTTTATGAAGAATGACATACAAGTCTCACAAAAAAAAAATTTTATAAGATCCATTGACAACTGAACTAAAGCCATTGATAACATATCAATGTTGTCAATGGTCTTAGTTCAGTTATCAATGAATTTTGTATAATTAATTTTTTTGTGTGAGATTTTAATGTAATTTTCTTGTGATTTTATCTTGTATATTTGTGAAATTGGTCTGGAACTTTTATATAAAAAAAAATTACAAGGATTTGTTTATTGGGTTGAATGTGGAAACAACTTAGTTTTAGTGGTCGTTGGTTGAAACCCAATGTGTATAAAAAAATTTCGATACCATATTTAATTAAATGATAGATCGTTGATAAATTTATGTTTAAAAAAATGTGAGTGCTGCAATACTTCTCTTCCAGGGATTCTCATTCGCGAGCTCACCATTTTAGGTTACAATCGTGGACGGTTATAAATAGAAGATCCAAAATTCTCTCTCAAATACACTTATACACCCAAATCTTGCTCTACCTTACACCTATTCTCTTTTTATTGTTTATTACTTCTAATTACCCCTAGTTAATAAAATTTAAATAGATAATAAAAATTCCAGATGTTACAATAAATCCAAGGAGGCAATTTTATTTTCAAAATAAAAATAAAAAACAAGAAATACTAAAAGCAAAAATTTCTAAAAAGCCATTAGATTGCCTCCTAATAAGCGCTAAATGTAACATCTTTTGTTAGACAAAGAAATGGGGTCAAGGTACTCTGTCCAAGGTGGAGAGAGACTAATGTTTTCATGTGGTATGTGGATGTGAGCTGCATAAAAAATTTTCAAAAATAGAAAGTTTAGTAGGCTTAGTAAATTTAAAAAAAAAATAAATTCTTTGTCCCTTCCTAATTGAAAAACTAACTTGCCCTTAGGAACATTAATTAAAGCATCCCCAGTAGTAAAAAATGATCTGCCTAAGATGAAGGGCACATCCTCCTCATCTTTCAAGTCTAACACTAGGAAGTCAGCGGGTAAATAAAGCTTACCAACTTTTACCAGAAGATCCTCCACAATACCACATGGGTATCTCAACGATCTATTTACCATCTGCAAGTGGTGTTGGTTGTTTTCATGTTGTTGATCCTAAGCTTCCTGCATACAAATAAAGGCATAAGATTAATGTAAGCTCCTAAATCACATAAGCATTTATCAATATTTAAATTACCAATAACACAAGGGATAGAGAAAATCCCTGAATCTTGAAGCTTAGGTGGTAGCTTTCGTTGCACGATGGCATTGTACTCTTTCGTAAGAGCTATGGTGGCAAATTTCTCCAGCCACTTTTTATTCAAGACAAGCGCTTTCACGTACTTATCATTCGTCTGCATCTTAGCCAGTGCCTCTACAAAAGGGATATTTACTTGAAGCACTAACCAGCTTTTTTTGCTTTTCCTCATCTGCGACTAGACATAACCAAAGGCGTGATTCTTCATCCTTTGGTGCGTTTTAGGTACTTTTTGGCTCCCTTTCTCTACAAAACACATACAATACTCAATGAGGCAATATATTCTGTTTTCCAGTTATTTTTATGCCATAATTACTTCAAATTTAGAGCTAAAACAAAATAAAAGCAGCATATAAAATGTACCTATCACACACTAGGCACTAGCTTCCATAGGTTGTGCATTAGAAGATTACACACACACACACATGTTGGGTGAATAAAATTCCATATGATTGTCCCATGCATCTAATTCCAAACCCTGACTACGATCAAAAAGCCGGTCCCAACTCCCAAAACACCAAACCCATGATTCCTTTGTTCTTGTTAATTCTTCACCAATCTATTTCACCTGGACCCACTCATCAAAATGCCATATGGTGGAACCCTCTTCCTTTGGTTGCAAAATGATGCCCATCCATGCATGATGATTCCTCACTTGCGGCAATATATTACTGACATGACCCCACGACTACTTCAGAAAATGTGCCTCACAAAATTCAAAAGCAAAAGTCCCTAAAGAGAAACGGTTGGTAACCACCACCAAGAGAAACAACAAAAGGAAAAGCTGAAATTTGAAACGTCTCTTTGGAGGTATATTGTCTTTGCCTTGCACTCACACTCTTTCCTTTATTACCTGTAACAACAGCAGCAGCAGCATTATACCATCCATATATTTTCTAATTATTTAGCCCCCACATGTAAACCAGAGAAATTTATTGATTTCTACCATTTGGGGGAAAAAAAAAAGTTGAACACAGTTTCAGAATCCCAAGAAACATGATCCACTTTTCTTTAATTTTTCCTCCTTGCCCCTTGACTGAGTTCTACTATTGTTGCTTCTGAAATACTCTATTTTTCTCTTTTCCTTTCTGCTTTAATTCACAACTTGTCCATAAATAGACCTGCGCCCATTTCTCATCACTGGTAAGCACACTAAGCCATGCACCAAAAGAAAAAAAAAAAAAACAAACGAACAAATCCAATATGAGTGAGCTCTTCCATGAATGTTCCTTAGGTTGGGATTATCAAAATCTTGGAGTTCTCAACACTGAAATGCCTTTAGGTACAACTTTTGTTCCCCCCTTTATATCCTTCTGTTCTGGTCTCTATACACTATCATGCTTCTCGGGTAACGCGATATTAATGCTTATATTATCATTACCGTGATGACTGATATTCAATTTGCAGTCATGGCTGAGAACAATGTTGCGCCATGTTTCTCACCTCTAGAGTCTGATTTCTCATCGGGGTATTTGGAAGACGCTTTGATTGAATTTACTTCCAAACGTCGACGGTTGCTGCCTCATACGGATGAACAAAGCGTGAATGTCGACATTGATCTTCAAAAGGTAGATCTCCTCCTCTCTGAACATTCTTTCTAGTTCGAATCACTTCATTTCTCAATTGTTCTTTAAATGGTAATAAACCAGTCTATTCTCCCCAGAACTTTTGGAACTTCGAGCCCATATGGCACCAACCAGCAGAGAAGTTCTATTGTATTACCATGAACCAGATAGAAAGCAACGTCAGGGAATTTTCAGGTATCCATGCCTGATTTCTTCAAGCATTCGTGAACTGTTGGTTTCAAATTAAAACACAGCTATGCTGCATTCAAAATATTCTAAAGTGCTTTTACTGTTGTAGTTAATCATATTGAGGACCGAAAGCATAATTATAAGCGAAAAGAAAAGAATGAATGACGAATATTGAATCATATTTGCCATTGCTGTGATATGATTTCTCCTTTTGTTCGTTTTGCTGCTGCTGCTGGTATGCCACTTTGAGATGCTCAATTATTATTCCTGCTTATTTCTAGATGAGCCCATAAGCACGTCCATGAGCAGAATCACAGAGGAATCGAACATTCAGGCAATGTCAAAAGGACAAGAAAAGACAGCATTATCAGCCAATGAATCTCCTGATTCATCCTCATCTTCCTACAAAATCCCAGTTACATCCACAACCACAGAGGAGGAGAACTTATTCTGCACAGACCCCACAACAACCTCAGCAGGTACACACACACACACACACACTCTCTCTCTCTCTCTCTCTCACTCCAATTATTGAGGTATTAACTGTTAAGGCGAACATTGTTTCTTACGAAGGAAAAAACTTAGATACAGAGAGGGTCTGGCGAAAAATTAATGAACTTTAGCCTAATCTGACCATGCATTACTGTGCATGAATTTGTGTGTAATTTATATAAAGGAAGTAGCAGTGAGAAGAGGAGGAAGAGGGTGATAACAAGAGTAGTGTATCCATTTGCAATGGTGAAACCAGGAGGGATCAGAGAAGGAGAAGTGACATTGAATGACATAAATGAGAGGATCCTGATGCCTCCGACTAGGCCAGTGAGGCACCCTGTCGGCGACTTTGCGAGCCGGCCATGCTTATCAGCCACCGGTGCAGGCCTCTCAGGCAAAGCAGTGGTGGCCCTTACTAGGATTCACACTCAAGGAAGAAGAGGCACCATCACTATTATCAGAACCAAGGGTTGATCACAACAATTCCTTGCGCTGGAAATGAAGCAGCTTTTTGGCTCTTACACACACACAACGACGCATGAGTTTTTATTTTTTTTTAGATCTTCCAATTGTATAGATATATAGTAAGCCATATATAATGATATGTGTGCCTTGAGTAAGTTTTGAAGGCGTTTCTGTGAGATTGAATTGAGGTCCAACAGGAAAAGTTATCGGAGTTGAATTGATGATGAGAAGAAAGAAAAAGATAAAAGGAGCATGAAGGAAAAGAAGAAGGAGGAGGAAATAGCTCAAAAGACGGGTCTCTAGAGGATTGAGGTTGTCTTTAATTTGTTTAGACTTTGGGTCTTTATGGCAAAGACAAATTAGAAGAGATGGCACTCTTTATTCTGCAAAAATGACTCTCTTTTTTGGTCCTTCGTTGAGAACTTAGATGAGGGATCTAGAGATATGTTGGTCGGTTGAGGAAAAACCTTATGTCATGTTTGAATTTGCAACGAAGTGCTTGCATTCTATTCAGATACAGATCAGATTGCTTACAATTTTTTTGGGGGTAAAATTAAAGCAAAGGAAAAAGAGAGAGAGAGAGAGAGAGAGAGAGAGAGAGAGAGAGTAAACATCTGTCCTCTCCTGTCTTTGGCATTTCAAATAATTGATGGAGGGTAGAAATTAAATATCATGATATAATAATAAAGAACGATACAGGGAGACAGTAAAATACAATACATGCATGGTTAGAAATTAAATTAAATTAATTTTTTCACAAAAAAAAAGAGAATTCAACTCATTTCTCAAACTTCTTAAAGATAAAAGCATTAATGAGGTAGGAGAAATAAAAAATTTAAATACATTCTTGATAAAATTTCAATCCAAATAAACTTGAAGGGCGGCTTACTATAAAATTATAATTGTGGATAGTGTATTAATATTACACGTAAGATCTAAACTTCTTTTCTTCTTCTAGGGGTAAGAATAGCGTTAATTAGCAGTATAATTAGTAAGATATTACAATGGAAACGATCTATGAAATAGAAATTATAAAAGGAGGGAGTAAGAGTTAAAAAAAAAAAAAGAAAGAAAGAAAAAGAAAGGAAGATATGAATTTTAAATGTCAGGCGGTGAGCATAATAATTGGTGGGGTGGCAATGATGGTTTGTCGCATAGGTTCACTTTGACTTCACTCCTCGGTTGTCACCAAACCGGCAAGATGCTTAGAAGAAGTCAAACTTTTGTTTAGTGACAGGCCACTTCATTCGTTCCGTACGGTTGCTTGTTATTTTAATATTTTATTGCCCAGCTCGGCTGTGAACCAACCAAGTTTCCCCTTTGACCACCTTCGTTGGTTCCTCAATCCTCATCAACGTCACATCGCTTGCTGCTATTTCATTAGTTAGTAACGCAGTTTGGTTTTTTATTCGTTACAGTCATCACTTTACTTGGGAGGTGGTGCGTGGCTGTATCCGCTCACTCCCTTGCCGCTCCTCATTTCTCACCAAACCATGAAGACGTTTCCTGGAGGTCAAAGTTTTTCTTGGTAGCACTGCTTTTTATCACGCGTATGCAAAATCTTCTTTCAGTATTTAAACATGAGATAAATTTAAAATTTTTAATTTTTAATATAACACAAAGTTAGGGTAATTGTTTTTTTAACTTTACTTCTTATTTTCTTTATTATGGTTTGAATTCCTAAAAAACAATTTAATATTGATTTTAGAGAAGTGTAAAATTCAAAATTTACAATTTTCTAATAATTTGAAGGATATAATTATCATTTTTTAATAAACAAGGAGTTGATTTAATTTGTCTTATATTAAGAACCAAAAGGAGTATATATATTGTTGTAGGGCACAAATTATTTTGCCTCATTTTAACTAGGTATTCATGTATAACTAATTTTTAATCTGCAAGTTAACGAACAATTAATATGCACTAGCGTGTAATCAGGGAAGAGTAGATCAATATAATGAAGGTGCATGTTATATATTAAATTACATACTGGATTACGCTATTACTTTTCCCATATCAAACCGCGGGAAGAATATGGTGGGAGCAAAGTATAGGAAATTGGTTCAAATTAGAACCTTGTCTCGGGTCTGGTCCGAAGTTCAAAACTATAATCAACCTAATTATACAAATACTGTAAAACTCATTTGATTGGGCAGAAATTAGTTCAATTTAATTAGGTGATGGACTTTAGTCTTGTGTAAATTTGCCGCTCTCATTGGTTGAATAATCTTATACCCTATTTGGTATCATAGAAATGATTCTGATAGAAATAAAAATGAATGTGAAAATGAAATTTAAAAATATATTTAATTTTAAAAGGGATGCAATGTTGATCCATAATTAATGTTGATCGTTAAACATGTTTGTTTGACTAGCAGATGGTGATGTGGCACTATTCCTCCCTCTTATTTTTGCTTCTCCTTCTCTCTTCTCTTCCTCCTACTCTCTCTATAACTCAAGACCAAATTATCAATGCATCAATAGAAGGACATCGATCTCACTTGCATATTCTAAAGGACTTTCGTAGCATTTCTAGCCCCTTGAGCTTGTTACCTGCCTCTTGTATCTCTTCCCACGAGCCTTTTATCACCTTGTAACAGTTCTTGCTCTCGCTCTATGTAAAGGGCCATTGTGGCCAACTAAAATAGAGGTTGGCAGTGCCAGAATGAATGCTATGCTAACAATCTCATAGCAATAAATCCAACAACTTGAGCCAAGTTGACTCACTCTTGCCAACTTTCTTTGCCTCTTTTGAACACGATCCTAGCACCATCATTATGCTTCCACCTTCCCCATTATGCTTGATGTCAGCTTTCTTAGGTAAAGCAAAAAATTCCTTAACTCGAGCTCCGTCAGCTTTATTGTGGAATTAGACACTAAATGAGAATCAAGTTGATGTTGTGACCTTTTCAATTTCTAAAATGTTTTTCTCAATTTTAGGGTCTAATTCCACATATGAAGTTTGTTTTCTTCGGGTCATAATCTATGAAATGCTTAAAAACACAAAAAACAAATTAGACTACTGTAACATCCCAAGAAATGAAACTTAGGCTATAACCCTATAATTGGAGGAAAAGAGGCCATCTAAGGACTAAGTGTCTCTCGGAATGGGGTAATGACCTTGGGTTTAGGGTTGGTGAAAAGGTAAAGTGTCTGGAATAGAGGAAGCCATATTAGGTAACTCACTTAGGCGAGTTGATGTACTTATTAAGGCGAGCAGTGCGTGACTTGCTGGGGTGAGTAACTCATAGAGGCAATGTTGGACTGTCAATTCTAGAATGTGAGGATGTGTGATGCTTGCTTGGGCAAGTGTGTGACATGCTTAGGCGAGTATGTGGTATCCCGCCAAGGTGAGAACATTGACATGATAAGCTGCTTAGAGGACCAGGTCTAGTATATATCAAGTATACTAGCTGACATATGATAATTGTGAAAATGATCATTAATATTTATGGATAACTATGTTAACGGTTTATAACTTGTTTTGGCTAGCCTTGTTATAATTAAAAGTTAACAGATAAATTAATTGTAAATCAAGTAAGCCTAGCTATGAAGTAATTATAGTGCTACATTGTTTAATGTTAAGTTATATGGTAACAGGGAGTAGTGACTAGGTTCTTTACAACTATTAACACTATAATGCAAGAAATCAAGTAAAAAGCAAGCAAAGCACACAACAATGGCAAAAACACTAAAAATTCTTGAAAAATTGGGAAAATTAAATTTATTTAAAAATTAATTAATATGCAATTTCATAGGATGGATGAACCTTAATTATTGAATAGTTGTATTCACTCCTCTCTCTTAGCATTTTACAAGCTCTAGCTTGGGTATTAAAAAGGAAAAAGCTCTGAAACTTTAGGAATCTTATTCTTATTGTAAACCCTCTTACCTTATATTGTAATGTGTAATTTATGATAGTAATGCCAACTAAGATCATGTTTTGACTATTTACTTGCATTTTGGTGATTCATATAAGGAAATTTACTGTACTCTGGGGTTCTGAAGCGATTGTGTGAATTTGAGTAAGCTTCCTATAGGGCCAAAACTTTAGTGCAAATGTTAAATTGAATTAGAATTTACTACTTGAGCAATGATTATCATGTTCTATCCAATGCTGGATCTTCCTCGTCTATTTTGATATTACAGGGTTAAGAGTAGAAAATGATATATGTGGGTTATATTGTGCATGTAGTGCATTGTACAAATAGTTCTAGGTCCATTGAGTGTGTTCTAGGTGTTGATTGTAGCTTTTGGCACAAATGTTGGGTTTTGGGCACCCTATGTATAGTGAAAAGTATGAAAATGAATTTAGAGGTCCAACTCTTTTGTGTGAAATTATTTAGGACTAAGACCTATGCCACTAGCTAGTGTGTGAAAAGAGCTTCTTATAAACACTTAGACTATCTCAATCGGATGTCAGACGGAGAAATAAGGCATGATGAAAATTTACCCCTGTGATGTCAAAAACAACTATTGTCAAACTGTGCAATGTGCCACGGTGAGAGGTACAACGAGGGACATGCCATGATGCATCCCTCTGTGTATTCTCACTTGTTGTTTCTCAACTAATTTTACAATTTTTTGAACATTAACTAGTATCCCATGCTTCTATAATTTTCGCAAACTCTAGTTTGGATTGATTGATGTCCTTAAAAATAATTTTAAATGGTTTGAAAATTTAAGATCCCAGTTTGTGAAAATGATTAACTGTGATAGGGTAACTCATTAAGATTAATCCCATGATTGCTCAAGAGTGTTATAAATATATGAATAAGTAAGGAAGACCTTATACAATGTCATTTAGTACTTTGTTTTGATTCTTTAGTGCTTCAAGCAATGGCATTTTTTGGCAATGGTGCTTCTAGCAATGGTGTAAGGCTTCTTCAATGGAGTTAAGCATTCAGCTTCTTCGTACTTGGGCACACAGATTGAGAGAGAGAGAGAGAGAGAGAGAGAGAAAAAGAAACAAAATGTGAAAACTGATAGAGAGAGATAAAGAATTGAACTGTTAAAAAAGATTCATTATTAATTTTTTTTAATTCACCTTTCATGTAGGCTTTTAAGAGTGCTCCTAAAGGTTGACCTTTTTTTTAAAAAAAAAAAGAGTAAAAATACACGAACGACCCTTCTATTATGCCTTAATTACATAGACTTCCCATTTATTCTGAAAACTTATATAAACTTCCCTTAAAATTATAAACCTTCCTTTTATATTTGAATTTTATTTTCGTCCATCAACCATCAGTTGACCATTAATTTTGACTTTTAAATTTTTAATTTGACCAAAATGCCCCTTTTTAACATAAGAATTATCTAAAAAAAATCTATATTTGCAAAAAAAAAATTGTATATAACAAAAAAAATATAATAAATGTATTTTCAAATTTGTGTTATATTATAAAATATTATGATTTTAATTTTTATCAAATTTTTTATATTTTTTTTGTTCATCTCATAACATAAAATGATATAAGTTCAAGAGATTTTATAAATAATTAAAATTTAAAATTTGTAAA